TTTGGGGACAGCTAGGTGTAGCAGTGCATAAAGTGACAGGAATGAAGTGAGGAAGACTCATCTTCCTAAGTTTAAACCTGACCTCAGACACTTACTAGCTGTGTGACCCTGGGCAAGTCATTTAACCCTGTTTGCCTCAGTTCCTCATCTGTAAAAATGAGCTGGAGAAGGAAACGGCAAACCACTCCAGTATCTTTGTCGAGAAAACCCCAAATGGGGTGATGAAGGATCATGACTGAAACGACTAAAGAACAAAATGTTGTTTGAATCACAAGTAATATTAAGCTGCTTTATATACTTCCTATGCTGTCAAAGGCTGAAACAAGAAGTGAGATCTTCATTCCCACACAAATTTGCAGCAGATATATTTTCTGAGCTCGAACTACAGTTCTAGTAGTATTTTTTTCAGACCTCAGTGCAAGTGTGAAAGCAATCTCTGTATTTCAAAGTCTATTTGACTGAGCAATCAAGGAGCTTCCACCAAATCTTCAACTGCAAGTGATTAATCTGCAACGTGATGACATGGTAAAGGGCAAACATCAAGAGGTTTTAATAAAAACTATAAATGCTTTCAACGGATGAATACATTCAATTAAAATCATACGCTTGGGGAGGAATGTCAGCATTTGGCCATACCTAACTGTGTGAGAAAGCATTTTCAAAGATGAAATACATAAAATCACTTTACAGATGAGCATGTGTAACTGATTTTGATGATAGGGAAGCTAACTTCAAACCCTGATTAAATGAAATGTTGTTCTTCCCAAAAGAGTTCTATTCTTCTCATTAGGAGACCTGTATTACAAAAAAAGTGTACTCAATTATTAACATGTTTTGAATTTCATCAAGAAATTTTGGAAATGTGTTTCCTCTCTTGTTATATAATAAATACCTACATAATATTCTTGATTTTGCTTTTCAGTCCCAAAAGCCTAAAGTATTTCTATCTTAACAGAGAAAGTTTGCCAAATCCCAGTGCAGACTAATTCAGATATGGGTCCTGATCTGTAACTTACAGTCTTAGAGCAACAGACTGGGATACCAAGGAGTTAAGAGACCTGCCCATAGCCATATAGTTATTATAGGACTTGGACCTGTCTAGCACCCTGAAGACCAGACTTCTAATCATGTCAAGCTGTCTTGCTCTTGCTGTTATGATTATTATTCCAAGTCTGGCTATGATCTACCTCTTAGAAGATGTTTAAGAGTAGTCCAGAACCCAGGTACTTCTCAATAGGGAAGCTGTAAAGGTGCTGAAAAATCAACATTTCCCTGCTAGGCTGTGAGGTCAGGAATTACATCATCAAAATGAAAAGGTATCCAATAGGTGGCTCAAGAACTGTGCTCTATGAACAGAAGAATTCATGACCAAACAGGAGATAGAGAACATTACGAAAAGCAAAATGAATGATTTTGATTGCATTAAATTGAAAAGTTTTTGCACAAACAAATCCAATGCAACCAAGATTAGAAGGAAAGTAGAAAATTGGGAAAGAATTTTTACAACCAATATCTCTGATAAGGGCCTCATTTCTAAAATATATGGAGAATTAAGTCAAATCTATAAGAATACAAGCCATTCTCCAATTGATAAATGGTCAAAGGATATGAACAGGCAGTTCTCAGATGAAGAAATTAAAGCCATCTATAGTCACATGAAAAAATGCTTTAAATAACTATGGATTAGAGAAATGCAAATCAAACAATTCTGAGGTGCCACATCACACCTATCAAATTGGCCAAGATGACAAAACAAGAAAATGATAAATGTTGGAGAAGATGTGGGAAAATTGGAACACTAATGCATTGTTGGTGGAGTTGTGAAATGATCCAACCATTCTGGAGAGCAATTTGGAACTATGCCCAAAGGGCTACAAAAATGTGCATACCCTTTGACCCAGCAACAGCACTTCTAGGGCTATATCCCAAAGAGATCATACAAATGGGAAAAGGACCCACATGTACAAAAATATTTATAGCAGCTCTTTTTGTGGTGGCAAAGAATTGGAAATTGAGAGGATACCCATCAATTGGGGAATGGCTGAGCAAGTTGTGCTATATGAATGTAATGGAATACTATTGTGCTATAAGAAATGATGAACAGGCTGACTTTAGAAAAACCTGGAAAGACTTGTATGGTCTGATGCTGAGTAAAGTGAGCAGAACCAGGAGAACATGGTACGCAATAACAGCCACGTTGTGCGATCACTAATATGGATAAACTTAACCTTCTCAGCAATACAAGGATCTAAGACATCTCCAAAGGCCTCGTGATGGAAAATGCTATCCACATCCAAAGAAAAAACTATGGAATCTGAATGCATATCGAAGTATACTATTTGCTATTTTTCTTTCTTCTGCTGAGTTTTGTTTCCTCTTTCTTGTGGTTCCTCCTATTGGTTCTAATTGGTTCTAATTCTTACTTACAATATCACTAATGTGAAAATATGTTTAATAGGAATGTATATGTATAGCCTGTATCAGATTGTGCACAGTCTTGGGGAGGGTGATAGGAAGGGAGGGGAGAAAAATATTAAACTCAAAAGCATATGGAAGTGATTGTTGATAAATTAAAATAAATTAATTTTAAAAAAAGAATTGTACTCCATGAACATACATTCCACAACCCCTAAACTCTTGGGCTTCTTTTTGCTTTCAATATGCAAAATACCTCACAGGTAGAATTCACAGGAGGATTTGGGTCACCTTATTTGTGATAGGCTAAATGGGTTGATATAAGGTATCTATGTGGCCCCAGTGGATAAAGCCCTAGACTTTAGACTCTAGAATCCTGCCTCAGACACTTACTAGCTGTCTGACCCTGGGTAAGTCACTTAACCTCTTTCTGCTTCAATTTTCCCATCTGTAAAATGGAGATAATAATAGCACCTATTTCACAGGATTGGAAGGTTAAAAATGAGAATATTTGTAAAAAATTTTGCAAACCTTATATGGCTACATAAATAATATTATTATATGCAAATAGCTTCAAGAGCCCTGTTTTCCTTCACTGCGGTGTGTGCGTATACAAGGTATGTATCCACCAGAAGCTTCTCTGTTGCATGATTGACTCAGTCTCAAAATAAATACCTCTGGGCCATGGAGAGCCACATTTCCCAGCACCAAAAATGTGCTCTTATTAAAAAAAACCCCAACATACTAAAAAGCACTCCTCATTTTACTGTGCCGTGTCCCTGGAGGCTCCCTACCTCCAGCCCAGGCCCAGCCCAGGGGGCACCACTGGTTTGTTTGTTGCTGTTTAAGCCCCAACAGGAATTTGATATCTGCCCCAAGCAAAAGGAAATCTCATATATTACTTCTTTTCTATGCACATTGGGTTATGTGAGAAGAGACAGAGACTGTACACTTGGGTTGGGAAACAGTAAATGGTTAAGGAAGAGGGATCACATCATTGTTGGAGTCATGGCAAGATAGATATAAGCTACTGAGGGGTTGATTTCATTCTTCAATCCTCCTCAAAGGTACAAGCATGTGAAAACACACACACACACACACACACACAGATTCCTACCACGATGTTAGGGTCCCAAGGACTCATTTCTGTCATTCAAAGCCCTCCCAAATCTGTCCAGGCCCAACTGGGTACCACCTGATTCATTCACTTTCCAAATTAAATACTGCTCCTCCCAATCCACCTGAAGCCTGGGGATTCCAAAGGTACTGACAGCTCCATAAAACCTTTGAGATTTAGCTTCAGGGAGGGTGTGGTGGGACCAATATCCTAAGGTCCAGCCCCAAGCAGGTTAGGCTAGTTTTCACTTAAAAGGTATTGAAACTGTCCTGGAGCCTTAATTGGCTCAGAGCATTAAAGGCTTGGACAGTTGAAGTGGTTTCCTGGCGTCATAAATACAAAAACCAGAGCAGGTATAGCCACTTGACTCCTCCCTTTGGCTTATGACCCATGGATCATCACAGCCAAATCTGACACTTGTGCTGAATCAATGGCATAGCCTCAATTAAAATATTTTCCCTGAAATGTTTTACATAATTGCACATGAATAACCTATATCTGATTGCTTACTGTGTCAGGGAGAGGAGAGGAGAGGACAGGGGCGGGATGGATAAAATTTGGAACTCAAAACTTTAAATAAAAATGTTTAAAAATATATTTCCCTTGGTCTAAGTATCCTTCCCTGCCTATGACTAATTAAATCTTTTTTTCATTTTCTTCTAATCTTAAATCCAAAGTTCCTGTCTCACTTTGTTCTGCTCTTGAACCTGATGTACCAGATTGGCTTGAGTCAGGCCTGGCCTACTACAGAAGGGATAAGGCTATAAAGGCACCTGAGAGCTAAAACCCCTTCCTGAACAGCCCTTCTCTGCTACAACAGGGGTACGAGAAGGCCTCTGGCTTAGATATGTAGACAGAGGTACAAATGGTAGACATGCTACATCAGACCATGGGCTGGGCTACCTTCTAACCCTGCCATGACTCTAATCTCTGCAGCTACAACACACACACACACACACACACACACACACACACACACAACACAGAGAAAAAACATTACCAGCAGAGTAATTATCAATGTCATCTCATCTAGGCGAGTCTGTGCCCCAGAATCCACGAGGGTGGCCTTCCCTTCTCCTTCCACAATCTCTGGCTTCTTCCCCAGTCATCCACTCTTCTCCACATTCCCCAGTCACACATGGAAGTTATCTTTGCACTGTCCCCATCAAATTGGGCCTCATTCCCTGAAGACAGAGGCGTGGGTGACCGTGGAGATGAGCCTCATGGCAGTTCCACAGCAGGCTAAAGTTCATGGCGGCAAACCTCTTCCTCTCTTAGAGAAAAGAACAATGGTCAGCCCCAACAAAAAAAGTCTCAGAGTCAAGAAAGGTGTGTCCAGGTTTATTATACAGTCTGTCCAAGGGGAGAACAAGGGTGTCATTGGCAGCAGAACGTGCAGCCTGAGTCTCCCAGGACCACAGGATCAGAACACTAGCTTTAAAGGCTCAACCCTACCGGGAGCTCTGAGGAGAGCAGGAAAATAGTCCCTCGCTACTTCCTCCCCACCTCCCCCCTTTCCCAACTCAGCTAGCAAAGGAGGAGGAGGCTGCAGAGAAGGCATGTGAAGTGGAAGGCCAGATGGAATTTGGGGAAGAAAGTCCTTCCAGGTGGAAGCATTTGGTCCCCATTAAGTTAAGAGGTTGGTCCTTGTTACAGGACACGCCACTCAATGGAGATGAGGGAGGGGGGAAGGGTGGAGAGAAAGGGAGGATGTCTGGTCTCAATAAGGCTGGGAACTAGTCCTTGGTAGAAGAGAGCTCTACAGCGAAGGAAGGGGCTGTTAGAGGAATGTCTGTGAGTCTGAGTTCAGAGTTCTACCAGGTCGCCTAAGGCAGGCAGGGTGGGAAGCGGAGGCAGAGGGCTGGCGGCTGTGTCTGACACAGGATGGGGCCTCAAAGAAGCTGTAGCATCCTGCAGATGCCCCACCCCCATCCTCCCTCGAGTCTTAGAGAAACACCACACCAAAGCAGCTGTCTGTGGGCAGTGGGGGGTTAGCTGAGGAAGGGGAGGTTACAGAGTGAGCCCTCGGCCTCAGTGCCCTAAATGCAGCGCCTCCTCCACCCTCACCCCTTCTCCCCACCCCCCAGCTGGGCCTTCCTACGGCGGAGCTCTGGGCTTGCTCCAGGCTGCCAAAGTGCCCACTCATACGGGGGCCACATAGTTTCCTGGAAATGTTCCGAACTTCTGGGTCCTCCGGGAGACACCTGCAAGGGAAGGAATGGAAATATGAAACATGGGGAGGCGCATGCCTTAACAGTGATAGGGACCACGGGTGCGGAACACTGGCATCACACATTTTTGATGTGTTGGTTTTGCTTAAAATTCTTTGTTATGGGGAGTGGCTCTCAGAGGCGAGGAGGGATCCAGGAAAACAGCAGTGATGTGGAAAGAAAATTACCAATACAATTTTATCTTTTTTAAAAAATGTTATGGAAGTGGAGGAGATGCTAGGGGAAAAACAAACAAATAAACAAACGGATCTCAAGAGACCAGTGACCAGAAAAACTGCTCTAGCCCACTTATGTCCATGGCAGCCTCTAACTCCTACCCCCTGGTGGCAGAAACCTAGAAGGGCAAGAAGCAATCAGCTGACTCACAGCATTTATGTTAACTGGTGAGGACCTCAGAGTTCCTCCCATTCAACTCCCTTGTCTTATCAATGAGTCACAGAGGCCCAGAAAGGTTAAGAACCTTCCACAAGGTTTTGCAATAAGTATTAGAGATAAAATCTGAACTCAGGTCCTCACAACCTGACACTCTCCACTAATCCACACACCTCAGCATCAATACCCCTCAGAACAAACAAGTGTTTATTCAGAATAGATTGTATATGCAATGCAAAGGTGTCAAAGGGAATACAAAGAGATGTGCTCCTTCAGGAATAAAGGAATAACCCCACCCATCCCTTCCTCCCAGAAGGTCCTTATGCATCACATACAGAGGCAGGGTAGTTTAGAAGAAATAGCTTTTAAGGAGGGTGGAGGGCACTCAAGACCAGAGATCAGGGCTCCGGTTCTGACTTGGTCATTTATTTTCTGTGTGACTTTGGGCAGGTCCCTTTCCCTCTCTATCCCTCAACTTCCAGGTCTATAAAATGAAAGGGTTGTGCTAAATGACCTCAAAGATTCCTTATAGCTGTCACATTCTATAATTCTAGGTGTTAAGTCCACTTCAAAGCATCCAGTCTCACACCACCCTTCTAAGGTTTAGGTCTCACACTGCCAAATCAAATCACTTTGCCTGTGGGAAAGCAGTTCGACTCAGATATAAACATCTTCCTTTGAGGGATGATATAGGCTAACGAACATTACTGGAATCACAGAATTTCAGCAACCATCTGAAAGTGCATCCTTTCTGAAACATACCCTATGAGTGCTCAATCTGAAGACCTCCAAAGAGGAGGAACCCACTAGCTCACCAAGCAGCCCATTCCTTCTTTGGATAACTGGCTGTGGGAAAGTTTTTCTAGACATCAAGCCTAATTTACCTATTTTTGCAACTTCTATTCATTCCTTTTAGTTATGTACTCTACAGTCAAATAGAACAATTCTAATCATTCTTCTTTGTGTCTAATCTTGTCTTCTTTGAAGACAGCCATCACAGCCTTGTTGAATCCTCTCTTCTCCAGCTAAAAATCCCCCAGTTTCTCTATCTCATCTCCACAAGCCATAGACCATCCTGACTGATGACCTCTAAACATTCTGTAGCGCTCACTTGTGTTCTCTCTCTCTCTCTCTCTCTCTCTCTCTCTCTCTCTCTCTCTCTCTCTCTCTCTCTCTCTCTCTCTCTCTCTCTCTCTCTCTCTCTCTCTCTCTCACACACACACACACATCCATAAAAAGATCTGCAGGTTTTAGAGTAGAGCTTCCAGTAATGAGGAAGTGGGAGCCAGTGCCGGGCACTCAGCACTGAATTTTAGGAAGGATATTCAGTCACCTCCCTCCCTTCATTGGTGGCAACATGGGACAGTAAGAGGCAGCAGGGTGACGGACAAAGCACTGACCCTAGAGTCAGGAAGACCTGGATTCAAAGTCTGCCTCGGATAATTATTAGCTTTGTGACCGTTTGTGACTTAACCTCTCTGGGCTTCAGTTTCCTCATCTCTAAAACAATGAAGGCAGTCTTAAAGGCCTCTTAAGGTCCCTTCCATCTCTAATCTATGATCCCATGAGAGGAAGAGCACCAAGGGTCCAGAATGTTATAAAACAAGATCTCTAAATCAATTAGTTTTTTTAACCTTTTTTTCCCCTTATTACAAAAGAAGCCTTACTAGATAAAAGGGTATATATATATATATATATGTATGTATGTATGTATATATGATTCTGATATAAAAAGAAAAGCATTAATTTTAAAAAAATTAATCTTTTAAAAAGAAAGCTATAGAGGGGCAGCTAGGTGGTACAGTGGATAGAGCACCAGCCCTGGAGTCAGGAGGACCTGAGTTCAAATCCGGCCTCAGACACATAACACGTACTAGCTGTGTGACCCTGGGCAAGTCACTTAATTCTCATTGCCTCACCAAAAAAAAAAAGAAAGAAAAAGAAAGCTATAGAATATATATACATATATAACATGTGTATATATGCATATATGTATGTGTATACACACACACACACACATACACATATATACACACATATACATATGTGCACGTGCACAGAACCAGATGGCACAGTGGATAGGTACAGGGCCTGGTGTCAAGAAGACCTGACACCTTCTAGCTTCAGACACCTACTAGCTGTAGGACCCTAGGCAAGTCACTTCACCCTGTTTGCCTCAGTTTCTGCATCTGTAAAATGAGCTGGAAAAGAAAATGGCAAACCACTCCAGTATCTTTGCTCAGGAAACCCCAAAAGAGGTCACAAGGAGTTGGACACAACTGAAAATGCCTGTTCAAGAACAAACAATACAAATGTGTAAATATAAAAGATATTTAATATTTTTAAATGTTATTAAATGTTAAAATTAAATTTATAAGTCAACTTTATAGCATATGTAAAGACCTTACAAATCTTAACAAGCCACATAAATGTTAGCTTTTATTATTGTCATTATTAAGGAGTTTAGAATTGCCTATGTGAAAACCTTTTTTTTTTCCAGTATCACTCCCTGCTCTCTCAATACCATCCACCTCAACCTTACCCTTTACAAGTCCTTAACCTAGTCTTCCTTCTCTTACCACTGGACCCCCTTTCTCTCACATGACTTCCATCTTCTCCCCTTTCCCTACCCCTTCCCACCCCGAGCCTGGCCACTCTCTTCAGGAGGGGCTGTCCCTTCTCTCCTGCTCTTCTACACACTGGGCCAGGAAAAAGAGAAGGCACATACACCCCCTGCTCCTCTGCCCCTCCACAAGACCCTCTCTCTACTACCATCCTCAGGAATAGGGGTGTGTTGGAGGAAGCCAATTGGTGAAATTTCAGTTTGAGCATTTACGCCTCAGATATCGTCAAACCTACAAATCAGGCTTGACTTATGTTTTGTTCATTGTCTAAACTTCAGGAAATGATGGAGAAAATATTAATGATGCAATTAAACTTATAAGTGTGCCATGCAAATGGCTGTTAAACATTAACCTGTACAATTCTCCGTTGAGGTTCACCACCTCTGCTAATATCATGCTATCCAGTTGTGGGCTGTCTTCCCTCTTTAGTCCAGGAGCTCAGCACCTGCCTCAGAGACCTCCTCTCCAACACAATCCCTGTCCTTATACTTGAGGATCTTGATATCCACATGTATGTGCCCTCAAAATCAGTCTCCCTCACTCCCATGATCCTCCTTCATTCTACCCTAGCCAGAGACAGGGCGGGTCATATCCTTAAACACACTAACAGTGTTCTAACGCCATGACCTGATCACAATCTCTACTTTCCTATCTCTTCCTTCACCTCACTCTTCTATATCTGTCACTACGACCTCCAGTTATTTTATCTCTCCCGAGCCATCATCCCTTCTCTGGCCTCATGTCCCCCTACCCATTCATAACTCTGACCTTATAGCTAGCTAATCAGTTCAATGTCTTCTCTCAAATCTCTTGTCCCCTGGTCTAATCACTGCTTATGCTTTGCCAAACCCAAACTAATAGGGCTACCCCTATAAGTTATCTTTATCATTCCTACCCATCTACTGCTAAATATTAATGAAGGAAGTCAAACAGCTGTGCTTTGCAAACTGCTACCAATGAATGTAACCTTATCTCAACTAGATTCTCACTGGTCTATGGCAATCTTGGTATTTTTACTTAATCGATTTACTATCAAATTCCCAATAGCAGCTGCTCTGAACCTTTTCAAGCTCTTTCCAGAGGTGTCAAACTCACAGCAAGGCAACTCTTTCAGGACCAATTAAAAGGTGATTGGGAAACATTTAACAAAATAAACATACAACATAGATAACATTAATTTTTGGTTTTTAAGTCAACATAAAGGGGGCAGGAATCTGTTTCTATCTGAGTTTGACACCACTGTTCTACTCCAGCCTGTCTCCCTTCCTTTTCAGCAAAAGCTCTTATCTTACTGAGAAAATATAGGCCATCTAATGTGAAAGCCCTTTTCTCCCCAATTCTAAACCTCAAAACCTCTTAACATCATTTGCCATTCTCACCTGCTTGTCTCTGACAAAGAGGTGGTCTTTTTTTTGTGTGTGTGTGATCAACAGCATTGGTCACATAACTAGAAAATATCTGAGGCCACATTTGAAATCAGGTCCTCCTGTCTCTAGGGCCAGTGCCCCCCTAGCTGCCCCAGAGGCCCTTCTTGACAAAGTCAACCCCTCTACTTACACCCTTGATGCCATCACCTCTCATCTCCTCCCGCACCATTCCTCTTCAGCCATCTCTTTGCCATCTTTTATTTTTCAAGCTCTCCAAATTAAGTGGCTCCTTTGCTTCTACCTGCAAATTCGTCCAAATCTTTAACAAGAAACCTTCATGGGACCCTGCCACTCTCTCAAGCTACCACCCTACAGCTTTCCTTCCTTTCTCAATTAAGCTCCTAAAAATACTTCTACATTGATTGCCTCTTATTCACTTCCTACTCGCTTCTCAAGCCCTTAGGAATGTGGTTTCTGACCTCATAATTCAATGAAACAGCTCTCACCAAGATTTCTCTCTTAATTTCTAAATTCAGTAGTAGCTTTTTCTCCGTGTCTCTTCTGCATTATTTGACACTGATACCACTTCTTCCAGGACACTGTCTCTTCCCCAGCGTTTTGTGACACTACTCTCTCCTGATTCGCCCTCTACTCCTTCTCTGTCAAGTTAGATTCTCATCTGTGTCTCACTCCCTAACCCTGGGCGTTACCAAAGGCTCTGCGCTAGACCCTCTTTTCTTCTTTCTCAACATCTCCTCTCTTGGTGATCTTATTCATTCCTATGGATTCAATAGCCATTTCTATGCAAATGAAGCCCAATTCTATATATTCAGCTCTAAGCTCTCCCCTAAACTCCCCTTCCACATCACCAATTACTGGTTAGACATCTCTAACTGAACTCCAAGTGGATATTTCAGTTCCACATGTCCACACAGGAACTTACTTTAATCCCTAAACCCCACTCCTCATCAGACTTTCTATCTTTTGAGGACATCACTATCACAGTCAGGTTCACAACCTCAAGAGTTATCCTTGACTCTTCCCTCTCCCCGATTCCTCACATTTAATCCATTTCCAAGACTGGCCGATTCCCCCTCCACAATATATTTCACGTGTCCTTCTTTCCCCTACTCTGTTCAGGCCTTCATTGCCTCTCAGCTAGATCACTGAAACGGCCTCCTGATCAGATTCTGCTTCCAGGCTCTCTCCAGGCCATCCTCCACATAGCTGCCAACATAACCTTCCTAAAGCACATCTGACCATTTCATTCTCCTACTCAAGATTCTTCAGTGGCTCCCTATCACTTCTAGAACGAATAATTTAGCTTTCAGGATTATGATGGAGCACTCCCCTGCACACTTCACATTCCAGCTGGAGTGGCTGACTTGCTACTCTCTGATCTCACCTCTAAGCCTTTGCAAACGCCATTCCCCATACCTGCAATATATTTCTCTTTTACTTCTACCTCCTAGAATTCCTAGTTTCCTTCATGGTTCAGATCATGCCTTACCTCCTATAGGAAGCCTTTTCTTTTCTCCTTAATTGTTAGTACTCTCTTCTTCATCAAATTATCTTGTCAATACCTATCTGTTCATATGTTGTCTCCCTTCAGTGATATTAATCAATCAACAGGTATTGATAAAGTTTTTTCTACATGCCAGCCAAGGGAGTCATACTTCCTCAGCCAGAACATGAGATTCTTAAGTTTAATGACTGTATTTTATTCTTTTCTAAAACCTGCTCTCAGCCAAGCCCAGGGTTGGGCACAGGAGGTACTCAATACTTGTTAATGGGCTAAAAACTAAATGTTTTTCCATGGAAAGTCAGCATGGTATATAACAACGAAGATTAATAATTATAACAAAGACCAACATTTACGTAGCAAGTTAAGGTTTATGAAGCATGTGTGTGTGTGTGTGTTCTTGTTTAATCCTTTGAACCTTTTAAGGTAAGTGCTACTATTCCTATTTTATAGAGAGGTTGGGACCTGCCCAGAGTCACACAATAAATAACAATAACAATTAACCCATCATTATAAATTAAATCAATATTAATTCAACCAATATTCATTTAACTTTACTTATTAATTAATAAATAACAATAATAACTCTGCCAATCATATAAAATTTACAAAGCAATTTAAATACATAACAAGCTTGTGAGGTGAGTGCTAATAATATTAATACCTATTTCAGGGACGGGGGAGTGGGCCACTGCTTTCATCAGAAAAAGTTGACCCCCATTAAGGATACTACCTCTACTGATCCAGGCTGAATTGTGCTCTGGTTTTAAAGAGAGCTCCCTGGGGTACTGAGGAGTTACATGATTTGCTCTGGTCCCACAGTCAGTAAGTATGCATCAGAATATAAGCTCGAGTAGGGATCACTTCCTTAGTAGCTCCAAGAGGCAGAAGTGGAGAAGCCCAATCATGCTTCTGTACCTGTTTCCTCTACCTAGCTAAAGTGTATTGTGAGGATTAAATGGAATGAAAGGAATGTTTTGAAAGATGCTACATATAACGAGTATCATATTTCTTGCCTTCTCAATGGGGTAGGGGAGGGAGAGAATTTGGAACTGAAAATTAAAAACAAAAAACAAAAAAGAAAAGACAGATGTTACAGAAATCAAGATCTTTCCTGTCACCTGCCTGGTAGTGAATAGCCCTGGCCTCTAAGTGTTGGCAGCAGCTGATGTAAATGGAGGGTGGCCCAATCTCAAAAGCCTACTCCGGACTGCTGACACTTACAACAGTCCTCCCCATCCCCCAGGGCTCATCATACCCACAAACCAGCCATCGTCACACTGCTGCATGACATCCACCTGGTCTCCTTCCCGAAGCTCCAATTCGTCTTCATTCTGAGGCCAATATCGATATACTGCCCGGTACCTGAAGGAAGATACTGCTGCGGTAACCATAAGCATCTTTACCTCTCCCCAGCCTAGCCCATTCCAAATCAGCTACGTCTCCAGACCAAACCATCCCCCGCCTCACCATCACTCAGCAAACCTTTTTCATCTCTGTACACTCTCCTTCGCAGAGAACTCTGTTCTCCCACCACACTGCTCTTTCCCTTCCAAACCCAACCCATCCTTCAAGCCTCATCTCTTCCAGGAAGCCTTCTTCTGTGCCCCTGAGCCACAATGACCCCTCTTTCTCTCTCCTTTCTCGGAAATCTATGTCAATCATTTCAAGACAACTATGTTCAGAGCTGGAAGAGACCTTAGAGATCATTCAATCCAACCTCTAATTTTATAGATAAACGAAGGCCCAGAGAGTAAATGGGATTTGTGGAGAGAAGAGCCAGGAATCTCCTATGTTAGCATCCACAACCAATAGCAATAATGTCAATAATAAATTCACATGTACATAGCACATCAATTCATCTGTCTCTTCACTTTTCCATCTAGGTCAGGGATTGGCATATTATGGCCCATGGGCCAAATGTGGCCTTCACCTGTCTTTGTCTGGCATGGGAGCTAAGAATGGCTTTTACATTTTTTTGACTGCTGAATTTGGCCCAGAAGCCATAGTTTGCTAACCCCAAATCTAGATTAAAATATTCCTGAAAGAACAGAGATTATCTCCTACACTTCTATTGTCTTCCGAGTCTCCCAACCCATAGGGCTGGGTTTGCTTATTGAATTAAATTGTCTTTAGTTTCCTTAGTGGTGCTGACTGTGAAAGTCTTTACTCATTAGGCTACATGCCCTATAATATCTCCCATCCCCATCTGACTACTCCTCAACTCATACTCACGGAGTCCAGTGAATATTAGAGGATCCAAAGAGGAAGAAGAGTCTTGGTGAGGGCTGGCACCCCAGTGGTGGGACGGCAATGTCCTGGAGGCACCAAAACCCTACAGGTGAATAATGAGAAAAGGATGGGTTATTTTGAAGTGCCTGTGTAATGTAGGTAGACAAGACTCAAATTTTCAACGGGTACTATGGGCTAAAGAGAATAATAACTGCATCTTAAACCCTTTTCAACATGGTTCCATACATTGGCTCATTTTATTCAAACCACGACCTCAGAAAGTATGTAGGGTTTTATTATCCCTATTTTACATATGGGTAACTGAGGCATGAAGATTTAAAATTCTTGGATTTTTAAGAAATGACATAGTAACTGGCATCCCATTTTATCCAGTGATTCCTGGAGGCTGCTCTAACATGGAATGGAACAGGTTTAGTTGTTCTGTTATCGTTGAGTCGTTTCAATCATGTCTGACTCTTCATGACCCCATTTGGGGTTTTCGTGGCAAAGATATTGGAGTGGTTTGCCATTGCCTTCTCCAGCTCATTTTACAGATGAGGGAACTGAGGCAAATAGGGTAAAGTGACTTGCTCAGGATCTCACAGCTAGTAAGTCTCTGAGGCCAAATTTGAACTCGGGAAGATGAGTCTTCCTGACTCTAGGCCCAGCACTCTAACCACTGCACTACCTAGGGTACACAGATGAGACCCAAGTCCTAGGACCAAGGCTCCCTTACAGTTGGCATTCCTGACTACTGCCTTCAGTGATCTCTCCTTCCTCCAGTTCAGGCTCTACCACAGACTACAGGCAAACAAAGGAAGGTGGGGCAGGACGCAAGGTCCCAAGTTATCCTGTTCCTGTTGGTAGGTTTGACTATATTTAGAGTAATTAAAATGCCTGTTTATTCATATGTAAATATAGTATGACATAAAAGGACCAGAAAATCTTAATTGAAATGCAGCTCAACATAAATACAGTGCTCAAGGCTAAGATAATATAGTATTTGTGGAGGGCAGGGACCTTTGTGCTTAATAGCCACCATCACTGCCCCACAAAAAGATTTCAATTTGCCAAAGTGCCCTGTATGCTTTCGGGACCACATTACCACATTCCAAACTCCAACAGACATAGACTGGCTTTCATTGCCCTGCTCAAAGGCAATATCTCCCGCTGCACTGGGATAAATGTCCCATTTTCCTCTATCAGCTACAGAAACGGGAAGAGGCAGATTTCTTATGTCTAAAGAGGGGATTTCTCGCTGACTCAGGATGCCTCATTTTCTTGATGGGAAGTTCGGAGTCACCTGGCTCTGAGGTCTGGATGGAGAGGTCCGTGGGGAAGGTTCCTGGGTGCTGGAACGAAACGCAAAACCAGTGCGATAGGGAGAGGTTCGGCCCCCCCAGTCGGTGGTGTCAGCTGTGCTTTGGGGTGCAGAGGGGGAACCAGATGGCCTTGCTAGGCGAGAGGTGCCCAGGCGTGGGGACCCAGGGACTTGGGAGCCAGCCAGGGTCAGGTGGGTGGGGGGAGGGCCATCTTCAAAGACCTTGAGCCTGGGTTCTTTGGAGACTTGGACATAGTTGGCAGGGAAGATGCCCTGTCGTCCAGTCCCTGAGATGCGCCCCTCGTACCAGTTTTCATCCACCTTCCTTATGAGGCAGATCCTCTCACCCTAAGAGGGAAGAGAGGAGGAAGAAAATGGAGCTCTCAACCAGGTGTTCCCATCATGACCCCTCCTCCCCCAGACAGGCAGATACACTAACCATACCCAAAACTTTCCATCCCTTCCCCACCTCAGACCGTTCACCTATCTGGAGTACCTTCCCCAATCCCAGTCCAAATTGTTATCTTATCCCCTTAGTCCCCTTAGTCTTATCTACCCAACCAGATTAAGTGAGTTTGTTGTGGGTAAACTTTTTTTATTTGAAAAGAGACTGATTAGAGGCTGGTAGGTGGCTCAGTGGATAGTGCATGGGCTCTGGAGCCAGGAGGCCCAGAGTTAGTCATGTGACCCTGGGCAAGTCACTTAACCCCAACTACCTCCAAAAAGAAAAAAAAATTTTTTTAAAGCACACATTTAGAAACTTACAGCCCTTTGTCTCTTCCCTAAAATCCACCTCATAGCAAGTTTTCAACACATGCAGATTGTTTAAAGTGGAGAGGCAAAGGGACAGGGACTGGGAGGTTCCTTTTCCCTCTTTCTCCCTCCTATTTCCCTTCCTCTCTCCTTCTCCCCTCAGTTTCCAGGTCCCTTTCTTGTTGTTCTTCTATTCTTTTTTCTCTCCCTCCTCTTCTGGCCTCCTACCTCCTCCCACCCCACCTCTCCTTTGCCCAAACAGAAAATGATATTTGTTGTTTATGGTCACATTTTACACTATAAAAATTGATCCAGAAAGATCCACAGTTTTTGCCCTCCAGGCACTTACAGCTCATAGGAAATGTGGTCCTGAAGAAGCCAGCCACAAGAGGGAAGGAAAATATTTTATCCAAACAAGTCAGGAAAGGAAAAGTTCCAGATATGTGGGGGAGTTATTTGACTATTATTTTCTCCCTTTTTCCTCCCAATTCTGATATTCAGCTAAAACTTCCCCTGCCCCATCACCCCTTCTCCCTCTGAACAAGAGGCTCACTCACCTTTCGGAAGGATAACTCCACCTCCAGGTCCCCCTTGAAGTTGTACTGGGCCACAGCCTCTCCATATTCCAGTACCTGGTAGGTTGGGGGTTTGATGGGCTTTGGGATCTCATTTGGGGGCAGCACCTGGAAGAGATAAAAGGGAAGAAGGATCAAAGACTCCTGGATCAGCCACCCACTGTATAAGGTAGCCCAATGGATAGAGTGCCAGGCCTGAGTCTGGGAGACCAGAGCTCAAATCCAGCCTTAAATACTTAATAGCTTGTGTGACCCTCAGCAAGTCGCTTAACCCTGTTTGCCTCAATTTTCTCAACTGTAAAATAAGCTGGAGAAGGAAATGGCAAACCACTCCAGTATCAAGAAAACCCCCAAAAGGCTCACAAAGAGTAGGACAGTATCAAAAACAACTAAACAACATTTATTGAACATGCACTTGGGGACTCATAGCAAGTAGTTACACACTTCATAAGATCATCATTTACCTCGTACCAGAAAGTTTGTTAAGTACTTCATGGGCATCATCTCCTTGGATCCCCACAAAATCCTGTGGCACAGGTATTATCCCCCTTTCACAAGTGAAGAAACTGAGGCTGATCATAGTTGTGACGCGGCCAGTATCAGATAGCTAGCATCTAATTGAGACACTATTCAAGCCCAGACCTTGCTGACTTCTAATCTAGCATCTCTTGGAAGAAGACAACCTGGAACCTGGCCAATGGTGGGCTGGGACCAGTTCCTACCTTAACAGCTAACAGTTAAATTTTTAGTACGAGCATTTATTTATACCTCGGAAATCGATACAAATTAGAGCTTCATTTATTGCTTGGTTGAATGTCTAAGAAAGTGAGAAAATGTGAATAGTGCAAATTAAACTTTAAGTGTGTACTACAAACATTTTCCACCCCACCCTAGCTGGCTGTAAAACACTTACCAGCACACTCCTGGGTCAGCCCTTAAGCAAAGAATTTACAGATCTGAGATATAATTTGAGTAATCTACTCAAATCCCCTCATTTTGCAGATTAAGAAAATGAGGCCCAGAGGGTTTAAGTAATTTGGCTGTGGTCAGACGGACTTTAGAACCAGATTCTCTGATTCCAAATCTAGTATTCTTTTCACTTCAATCTTGTCTCAAAATGTGATGCTAACTTACTTAATTGTAAACAAAGTATGTTGAATTTCTCAGGCAAAAGGCATTTTTTAAAAAAATGAATGGGCAGGAAAGAACAAATACATAAGAAATGCTCATTTAAAAAGCCTAAATTTCACAGACATCAGTGACAAATGGGTAAGAGACACAGCCAGCAAATACTAAGTCTTAAGGAGTTATTTGGAAGAGAAGGTATGTGCATTCCAGGTGGAGAAAGGTATGCGCAAAAATCTGGAAGTGGTAACAAGGTGGGTGTGGGTGGGAGAGGCAGAGTCTCTGGAATGAGGCTTGAATTGCAGTGTAGAAGGCCAAGGGGAGCCTGGAGGGGAACGAGTGGGGGTGGGAGGGAGAGTGTGAATATGTTATTTGTCTGGGTGAGGGTAGAAGAGCGTGAGATCAGATTAGTGGAAGGCCTTCAAGTACAGAATTAAGAGTTTTCAATTCAACTAGAAGCTGCCAGCCTTAGGAAAAATCTTTAATTAGGTGGTTTATCTTCCCCAGTGCCCTCCCTTCTCACTCCCTCAGGTGCCCCAGTTTTCAAGGTCTCTTCCTTTCCAGGAAGGAGGGACATATATCAGCTGCATGTGTGACTGATAGGGACTTAGCTCTCCTTATACATGACAGTATACTTCTGTCACTTGCGCCGGGAATGCTTTCTCTCCTCAATTTCATTTCTTAGAATCCTTAACTTCCTACAAAGCTCAACTCAGGTAACACCTCCTACCTAAGTTATTACATTATGTTCTGTGTGGCTTGTCTTGAAGAGGACCATGACATCAGGAAGATGACGACATGACTTGCAATTGACTTTGATTTGAGTGAGGGAGCCCTGTGCAAGGTCACCAGCCTCACTTTCCCCTCCAGACCCATCTGGGTCCAGTGGCCAGATAATGATCAGGATGACTGGAAATGGCCCAGAATATGCAGTGGAAGACCTTGGCCCTTTTAAGCAAAGATCTTTCCAAGTTCTCACTTTGAGTGAGGCAATACCCATTCAGTGAATAGGCCTCTTTAAGAAGTGAGTCAAGGGATGGCCCCTTTAATTAAAAAAAAAATCAAACCGGGAGGGGAAGACCCTCAGAGTTCCTTGTATTTATTTATATAGTGTACACATCGGTAACTCCCGACCAGAATGGAAGCTCCTTGAGGACAGCTGTTTCACTTTCACCTTTGTATCCTCAGCACTGAGCACAATGCCTGGCACAAACCACTGTAAGTGCTTAATAAGTGTTTGCTCAGTTGAACTGAATACCTAATCCAAAAGAGGATTAGGATTAAAATGAGGAATAAAAAAATTAATAAAATTAAAATATAGGATTAAAATCTCACTGTAACAGGTGATCAGCAACAACCCAAAACATTCACTTAGTATCTATGAGGTCAAGCTGTTCCTGAGTTCCTTGAAGAACACAGCCCCCAAAACCCAGAGAATGGAGAGGCAGGACCCCCAATATACAGATCAGGACAATACAAGGACCTAACGTTGCCTCCCAAACTGCACAGAACCTGGCCCTGAGATAAAAAGTCCCAATTTAATGAGTCGGCCAATATGTATTTATTAAGCTCCTACTATGTGCCAGGCACTGTGCTAAGCACTGAACATACAAAGAAAAGGGAGACATTCCCTGCCCTCAAGGAGTTTACAATCTAATGGGGGAAGACAATAAGCAAATACATTAATTCAGGAATTAGGGCTAGAAGAATTAATAAACAAAAAAGGAAACTGATGATAAAGAGTCACTATAGAGACAGAGATGCCGAAGATAGAAAGACAAAAAAATAAAGACTGTTTCCTACCTTCAAGTTTACATTCTACTAGACAAAATTTTAATCCAAAGAAATGAGTGCTAATTGTAAAATTTCAGGGATCAAAAATGGACCCTTTGGACAGCCACAGTAGGGGAAGGAAGAGATAATCAGCCCCACAAATCAGTATAAGGTCACCTTTGCTGGGAGCCAAAGGGATGATGAAAATGACTCACATTTATAAAACAATTTTAGGCTTACAGAGCAAGCACTTTAATAAATTAATTAGATCATTCTGATTGGCAGATGAGATATAGTGGAAAGGACACTATATTCAAAGTCAGAAGAGCCTCTGTCTCTTGCTAGCTGTGTTACAAGGAGCATCTAAGCCTCACTTCCCCAATCTGTTAAATGGGCCTAATAAGTACACTACCCTCTTGATCGCAGTACTAACTTGTTGATTTCCCCAACCTTTATCTCTACCATCTGACACAGGTCTTTAGCACCACTGGAATACTCCCTGACACAGGACATTCCATGTTTTAATGACAGGTCTACTGGACCCAAATCACTTCATTTAGTTATAAGCCATGGGCCCTCTTGACATTCTACATTGATTATTTTTTGTTTGTTTATTTGTTTTGTGGTACTCTTTTATAATAAACCATCTGTCTTCTTTTATTTAAGAAAAATTATTACTCCCTATGTTATAGTGTTATTGTGAGGACCTAATGAAAATGAATGGAAAGGTGCACAAAGCACTATATAAAGTTAGTTATTATTGTTATCATTGTTGTTGTTATGCCTGGCACAAACTAGGTGGTGAGAGTTATTCACAATTGCTGGGTCTGATATGTAGATGAAGGCATGAACCTGTGAGGTATTATCAAGGAAGAAACAGCAGAGCTTGGTGACAGACTGAACACAACAGGGTTCTGTGTAGAGGAGAGAGAGAGGAACCCAAATTTCTACCCCACCAAGGAAGCCCCTCACTCACCTCTACATAGTTAGTTGGAAAGATGCCAAGCCGCCCATGATGTTCTCCCTCCAGCCAGTTTTTGTCCACCTCTTTGTGGATGTACACGATGTCTCCCTTCTGCAGGGTCAATTCCCTGGTGGCCGTGCACAAAAAGTCACTTAAAGGTCCCTCAAAATCAAAAGGTGGTAGGGGAAGGTCATGGAAAAGGGGACTATGTCCTTGGGGCTATCCAAAAACTACAAGAGTCCTTTTTACTTCCTTCTTCAAACCTAGGTCCCAAGTTCTCCCCAGGGAGCATTACTCTTTTGTGGACAGAGTCATCACTCGGAACTTTGCCCCTGGGTCAAGAGGCAGGAAAGGAAGCCTTGGTTGAAAGTTGAAGACAGATCACCCCAGGAAACTGGTGTGAGGTTAGGGAAAGAGTTTACCCCCTGTAGATCACCTAGTAGCTTCCTATTTTAACTCATTATTCTTGACAGGTGATTGGAAGAGGTGGCATATATCTTATGTAGAATTTATATGGTCTGTTTAACATTATTGCACATGTATAACCTATATCAAATTGCTTGTTGTCCTGGGGAGTGGGGAGGAAGGGAGAATTTGGAACTCAAAAACTTATTAAAATGAATATTGAAAACTATCTTTACATGTACTTGGAAAAAATAAAGTACTATTTACAAAAAAAAAAAAGAATTTATATGGTTCTGGGAAGATGTGGCATGGACTGTCATACTCCACCATGTACATTACTCTTTGGAGTCTTCCAGACTCTTCCTTCAGATTTTCAAAGAAGACTGGCTAGGGAGTATTGGGAAGGCAAGAAGTCTCACAATGCTGGAGTGGTGGAAAGCTGGGCAGGAGTTTATGACATTGTTATCTCCAATGCTTTTGGGATGCCCCCTTCCATGATGCCCTAGTCTGAACCTTCCTTCAACCCTTGAGCTGAAGTAAGATGGGTCAAGCCCAGGAGAGTCAGGTTGATGGACAGCTGAGGCTCTTCTCAAAAATAGATGAGTAACCTCACTTTTCCCTTTCCACTGTGGTACACATGCAAGTACCCATCACATTCCCTAGCATAGGTGTGTAAAGATTGAGAGTTACCCATTCTCCCCAACCTTCTCCCCACCATGCTCCCCAACCCTCCTCCTCAACCTCAAATAGGTGAGTTCAGGCTGTTAGAGCCATAGTGGACCTTTACAAAGGGAGTATGCCTGGGTCTGACTTCCTCAGGCCTTGTGGAGGGGTGGGGGCTACTCAAGTCAGGTCAGCTCTATGCCAAGCAGATTGTTTGCTAGAGGAATGGGAAGTGTCAGTATCACCCTCCTATTTGTTGGCACACAACTGCTCTATATCTATAAGAGGTATAGTGGATTTTAGCTTTTGGGCTCTAAATTTGACAGGGCACTTGAGACAAAGCCCTGTTTGCCCAATCTTGGTTATGGCTTTTCTTCATGGGGCAATAGGAGATACCTCGTACAAGCTTCTGAACTCCTATCCCACTGGAATACAGAGAGAAAGGTAGGGTACTTGAATGGGGCTTCAGAGATACTCCTTCCCCAAAGGCAGAGGAAAGAGAAAGAAGGGACACTTACTTAGGTGACTGAGCCTGGAAGTCAAATTTGAGCCGTGCAGCCTTCATCTGAGCAGAAGGAGAGAAAGAACAGAATTTACTCCTAGCCAAACTTCTATCCCTCCAAGAGTTATAAATGATACCAGTGTATCCCACCCACTGGATAATCGAGTCCCACATCCTGGGACAATGCCTGATTACATCCTGCCCCTAAGCTACCTCTTACCTTCTTCTCTTCTTTCTTTGCCAGGCCATCCCCAGGCTCTGCCCCATTTGGATCTGTAGAGAACCAAAAACTCAGCAGACCAAACCAGGGCCCCCGTAGAGTTAGACCAAGTGGAAGGATTGGGAGTTAAGATCCCCGTGGATGCCCACTAGCTCACTCAAATAAGGCACAGGGAAATATGAAAAAGAGGAGCTAGATTAATGGATTCGAATCTAGAAGGGGCCGGGAGAGGGATCTGAGTCTTACCTTGGGTGGGGGGTGGGTAGAGAAAGTCTCTCCGACCCAGGAAGGGGCTCCCTCCATCTTCCATTCTGTGGGGGCTCAGGGCCCGTGAGGTGCTATGGTAAAGTGCTTGGGATGGGCTGGAAGCCTGGGCTGGAGACAAGCTGGTAGAATGGGGTGAGGATGGGGGTGGGGGAAGGGAGGTGCAGACACAGTTTACTCCTTTGGGGACTTACACCCTCCACCACCTCCAGAATTCTCCCTTATCCTTCTAGAAATGCCATTCAAGAGACCACCTCTACTCCCTGATCCTTGGATCTCAGCAGGATATCCGACTTCCTTTCCCTCCCGCCCCAAGCCAGGAAGGGGTGAGGCCATGGAAAGGGGGAGACCCTGAGAAGGAGAAGGAAGCCTGGGCTATGTTGAGGAGGTGTGCAAGGGAAAGGGACCTCACCCTCCCACTGCCCTTCCCTGGAAAAGCTCCTCTTCCCACTCCGCCTAGCCGGTCTCCAGGGATACCAAAGGACTCCAAAGCCAAAAGTTTCCCTGCGCCCGCGGAAACGGCAAACGCATCCCCTAAGTTGTTCTCCCTCCCCATGTGGCCCCCTCTCAGAGTCCCGTCCCAGTTCTGTCCTCTCCCCTTGCCCTGCCCTTCAGGATCTCACTGCCTTCACCTCCACCTTGTTTTCCTCTCTCCAAGTCCCTCCCTCCTCTGTCCCAGGCTCCCGGGCTGATCTGCCCTTTCCACATCAGCGATTCTCTCCTCCTCCTCCTCCTTCTCCTCCTCCCGGGCGGGATCGCGGTCCTCTTCCCTCCTCCGTCCTCCGTCCCGCCCCAGCCCCAGCCCCACCCCCCCGGTTGAGCCCCTTCTCCTCCCACCTCCCGGGCATCTCGGGGCACTCACCGAGCCAAGGGTCCTCTGTCCCGGGGGCGGCTAGCCTTTACCGAGCCCTGGGTGGGGAGAGGAGGGAGGGCGGGGGCGGGACTCAGCCCGGACTCGACCTCGACCGCCCCCTCCACTACAGCTGGGAAAGTTTGGGGCTGGGGAAGTAGGATCAGAGGGGGGAGGGGCGGGATGAACGCAGGGTCCTAGAGTCTCTCCTCGGGTTGCCTTGCGAGAGGAGACGCGACAGGGGAGTTGAAGCCGAGCCCGGACAACACCAGCCCCGCGCAAGACGGGACGCAAAGAAGGAAGGCAGGGAAAAAGAAAAGGAGCAGAGACAGTGTAAGGGAGGAAAGAAGGAAGGAGATGAGCAGGCCATCCCAGCCTCCAGCTGAAGGGACACGCCCTGAGTGAGGGTGTCCAGGGGACAGGGCCACCCGAGGGCACCAGGACACCTCGTCCAGGCTTACAAACAGGAAGAAGGAACCGTGGGGGCCGTCTGATCCAACCTCCTTATTTTCCAAACTGAGGAACTGAGGCCCAGAGAACAGAGGTGACTTTCCCAACATCACCAGTGGAAAAAATGGGCAAAGGGCCAGCTCTTCCCATAAAGACCAACTGCCTCTCCACTTGTTGTAGCCTGCTTTCCACAACCCACCGTACACCTACAGGGCTAGACTGGGCACCCGGTCTCTAGGCAGCGCCTTCTCACCTCGGGAATCCTGCTCTGACATTGTTCCCCTCTACGCCCCTCGTTCTGGCATGTGACAGGGTGATGGGCCCAGGAGTGAGGGGTACCTTGTCCGGGGGCAGCTTCATCTCAATGGCTCGCATGTCTTTGTCCAGCTCCTCGTTCAGCCTGGCCAGTTCCCTCTCCAGTAAGATCTGATGGGGCAAAGGGGCTGGGGTCCCCAGAAGACACAGTAGGCCCCACCCCCAATATCAGCACTCTCTCCTCCCCAATTCTAAAAGCAAGAATGATCACAAAGGGGCAGCTAGGTGGCACAGTGGATAGAGCACCGGCCCTGGAGCCAGAAGGACCTGAGTTCAAATTGGGGCTCAGACACATAATATTTCCTAGTTGTGTGACTCTGGGCAACTCACTTAACCCCAATCCCCTCACCCAAAAAAAAAAGTCAACTGAAGACATGACTGAACATACCCCAACCAGATTATTGTTATTATCTTCTCCAAACCCTTACTTTGAGCAAGTCACTCTCCAGCTTGAGAACTCCTCACTGTCTACCACACCACATCTAAAGTCCTGAGTCTGCCTTTTGCAGCATCTACAATCTGCTCTCTGTCCTACTCCCTCCTATCATACAGGAAGCCATCCATACACATGCAAGCATTTGCTTGCCGCCCAAAACTGAAAGCATACCTGGAAACTGAGGTATGTCCAAGTAAAGCCAATTTGCCCACCCCGGCAGCAGGGATGGTTTCAAAGAATGACAGGGGTACTTCGTTTCTAACGGAACTCCACATACTCCCCAATATGCACCTTCTGCTTTACTCAGGGAAGTTTCACTGACCCATGATCACTCAGGCAACTAGAAATCATCTCATTTAGAGGGTTCTTAACCTGCGGTCTGGGAACCTGCTTTTAAAACATTTTGATACCTGGCATTTCAATATAATCTGTTTCCTTTGCAATCCTATGTATTTTATTTTATACATTTCAAACTTTTTTTTTTCCTGAGAAGGGACCCATGGCATCCATCAAACTTCCAAAGAGGTCCAAGACACAAGAAGTTTAAGAACTTCTAATCTAGTACAACCCTCTTATTTTTCAGATAAGAAAACTCTGGCCCAGAGAAAAGTGACTTGCCCAAGGTCACACTACCAGCCTCATTGCTTGTGTTGTCCTTCTTACCTGGAATACCATTTTCTCCACTGTAATGATAGAATAAATAGTATTTTTATTATAAATACATTATTTAATATAATTTTATTATAAATAATATAAAAACAAATAAAAAAGTAACGTTGTTTAGTTGTGTCCAACTCTTCATGACCCCATTTGGAGTTTTCTTGGCAAAGATATTGGAGTGGTTTGCCATTTCCTTCTTCAGCTCATTTTACAGATGAGGAAACTGAGGCAAACAAGGTTAAGTGATTTGTCCAGGGTCACACAGCTAGTAAGTATTTAAGGCTGGATTTGAACTTAGGTCTCCCAGACTCCAGGCCCAGCACTCTATTTGCTGGACCACCTAGCTGCTGTAACAAAATAATAATAACAGACATTTCTATAGGACTTTAAAATTTGCTAACTTCAATTTCTCTCTTTTCTGATTTCCTGTGACATTTCCATTGAAAAACAATTAGCTCATAAGTCACAGGATCATAGACACAGAGCTAGAAGGAGTTGAGGTCCAGAAAGGGTGAGAGACTTGCCCACGCCCACACAGGGAGTAAGCAGCAGAGCTGGTAATCCTGTCCTCTGACTCCCAAGTGCAAATTTCTTGACTGAGTAACATGTTCACAGCTTTTCTCAGGTTTTTTCTCATTGCTTGCCCAACTAGACTTTGAACTCTTTGAGGTAAAAGCCCTGTTTTCTCATTTGTATCCCAATTAGTGTCTACTACCATGCTGGGCACATAATAGGCGTTCAGTAAATCCTTGTGGATTGCTCTGTGGGCTGGAGGAAGACCCCATTTGTAAAACTACACATGGTGACCCAGAATTCATACCTTTGGGTCTCAGGAGGCAAGTCTTGCTCAAGTCTTTTGCCATCTTTTGCCTTTTCCCATCCCCACCCAACCCCAGCATCCAAACCATGCCCAGACCACACTGGCACTCACCTCAATTGGCAAAGAGGGCTTCTCAACAGGTTCATCCACCAGTGGCTTCTTAGGCTGAGGGATGGTTAGGTCAGATCAGGGGAAATGGGAGTGGGACAGTTCCCAGGCTCTTTCCCTTTGGGGCTTCTTTTGAAGATTGCCTAGTCTTTGGCTGAGCAGCCCTGGCTAAGGGCAGCCCCAACTTTTAGCTTTCCACCCCAGTTGATGTCCCCTTACCCTCTGCCCTGTCTCTAGTTCTTGTAGAAACTGGTTCCAGGAGTCCTCAGTCCAGGTATCTTCAGCTTTCTTCTGGTACCTGACCACCTGGGTGATGAAACAGTGGATATGAACTCAAATGGAGTGGCCTGGGCACAGAATTTTGTCATCTGAAGAAAGCCATTTGTCCCTTAGACGGCCTGGTTTGTCCAGTGCCTTCTCTGAGCATGAGACCTAAAAGCCTATCAGTGGCCACACACGTCTATTTCAGGGATCTCTGGTGAGCAAGGGCAGGAGGTAGTGAGGGGGATGGGCTGGAGCCTGAGAGGGGTGTGTGTGTGTGTGTGTGTGTTTGTGTGTGTGTGTGTGCGTGTACCTGGGGTCTTGTCTTCAGGAGAGGGGAGGTTCCAGGCTTATAGCTGAAGATGTCTCCAGCCCCTTCTTTAGGGTCCTTGTGGCTCCTCCTAGACAAAGGGAAGATAATCATTGCTTTCCTGGAATACTGTCGAGACTGGGGCATAGAGGGAGGTTGGGCCTGGGAGAGGGAGCTGCTTTCTCTTCTCCATAGCCTCAGTTTGATTTGTGCTCCTTTCCCTACGTGTAACCATTTTCTCTCCAGCCCCCATGTTTCTTATCCAGGGCTCAGAAGACCATCAGCCATGTGATGCAATGGATGGTGTGAGGGAAAGATAACAAGCATTTTATTAAGGCCTACTTTGCAGCAGGAACTGTACTGGGGCCATCCCATACTTGCAAAGGTCACACTGCTAGGAAATGTCTGAGGCGGGATTTGAACTCAAGTCTTCCTTATTCCAATCCCAGGGCTTTCTCCTACGCAAAGTCCCTTAAACTCTGTCTGCCTCAGTTGCTTCAATTGTAAAATGGGAATAACAACAGTATCTACCTCCCAAGGATGTTGTGAGGATCAAGTGAGATCATGTTTGTAAAGTGCTTAGTACTATGCCAGGCACACAGCCGGTGCCTGATAAATGCTTGCTTCCTTCCTGCCTGCCTGACATACTAGCTCCTACCCACCACAGGGCCATGGGTCACTTCCTCTATTGCCTAAAAGTTTCTCTGCCTATGCTTTTCTGTCCTAGGCAGGGGACCTTATACATTTGCTCTTATCATTGCTCTGTATTTTTTAAAAATAAATCAAATATAAAATAAATCAGCCAAATTTAGTTTTCATTTACTGTTGGGATGAAAATATCCTGATATGACAAATGTCTGATACCAAGGCCAAACCCCCCCCCAAAAAAAACCCCACCCAGTTTTGTTAGAGAGTGAACATGATAAAGTATAAAGAGCTTTGCAATTTGAATTTGGAAAGTTAGGCAGTTCAGTGGAAAGAGGGCTGGATTCAAGAAGCTGGATTCGAATCCTGGCTCTGTCAGTCAATACCTGGGCAAATCATTTAAGCTTATCTGTAACACAAGGGTGTCTTTCTTTGCCATTTGAATCCCCAGTGCTTCATACTGTACCTAGCACATATGAAGTGCTTAACAGATGTTTTTTCATTTAGCAGATGGCCACCAAGAACCTTCCTGGCTCAAAATCTATCATCCTGTACCTGCCACTCCCTCTCTCTAATTCAGTTTTTCCATATGGAAAATGAGGGCTGAACTAGACACCCTCTAAAGTTCCTCCTAGCTCTGACATTCCAGAATTCTAGAAGGCACCTCTTCTGTGGAGGGGACTTGACTTGGGTGAGCCTCAGTTCTGACATTTCCTTTAGTATCTTGGCCAGAACCCCATATTTGCCAGTTTTTCTAGAACCACAGAATGTCAGAACTAGAAGGCACTCTAGAAATCAATGAGTCCAGGCCCCTCGTTTTACACATGGGAAACCTGAGAAAAGGGGAAGTGACTGACCCAAGGTAACACAAAGCCATTATTAGAACTAGAGAGTTTCTGGGATGCTCCTTCCAAACGGGCCATCAACACCAGACAGGTTCTGCTGAATCAGAAGTTTGATCAGATAGCAAAGTGGGTGGCAGTCCACCAGAATTTGCTGGCCTATTATTAGCTCTCTAGCCACACATCAATATGACTTTAGCAGTCCAATACCAACTGAAAATCATAACAAGAAGCCACACCTATGGAAACTCTATGATGTGTCCCAGATGAGGATACTTACAATAAAAGGGATTAAAAATAATCCAGACCAATGAATAATAAATGCATTGATTTTATTTGTTTGGAGTGGGTTGGGGTGGGGTGGGGAGCCTCTGCTTAGATGAATAGTCAGACTGAGACTCTCCACTGACTTGCAGCCTGGTTTTGTCCAAAGGTAAGACTAGGAATTTAATTTTTAACCTCCTCCCTTACATTGCTACCCCATAACTTCCCATCAGGCACAGCACGTTCTGAATCTTTTGTGGAGGCTCCACTTAGAAATGAGGCTTCCAATTTGAAGGGAGAGAGGTGAGGTTAAAGTAGGAACCTTCAGAGTCCCATTCAAAGAAAACAAGGAACTTAGGTCTTGCTTAGGGGTGACCCAGGATGACAAGGCAGGTGTGCCATGGTTCCAGGGACCGGTGAGGTGAGTTCTGTCACTTGGCCTGGCTTTGTCAGAAACAAGCCCAACTGTATTCTGTCAGTCAATCCAGGCACTGAGAGAAGGCTGCTTCCAGCCTTTCTGCTCTGAGGTTAGTACGGAGGAGAGCTCAGAATGGCCAACACTTGACTGCAGTTGGCAGAGGAGACATTTTGTATTACAGTTATCCATGTATGTGTCTCACCCTTTGGTGAGACTGTGAGCTGCATCAGGAAAGCAACAAATAGAGTGCTAGACTTGAGGTCCTGATGTCCTAGGTTCAAATTCTGTTTCAGATACTTCCTAGCTGTATGGCCCTGGGCAAATCACTTAACCTCTCTGTTTGTTTCATCCTAAAATGAGGCGGCTGAATCCGATGGCCTCTAAGGTCCTTTTCAGTTTTGACCTATGTCAGAGAGTGCCTTATCTAAACTTTGCAACTCTTCCAGCCCAACGCAGGGCACACATCTTGGGCCTGGCTGTTGAGTGCTTGGCTCCCCGACTTGACCACCAGAGGGAGCCAGTTCACTACAGGGATGGACCACCCATTCTGGGATTGGCCCCATCACCAATGCTCTGACCTCCTCTGGCTCAGGAATGCGCTGGGGGAGGAGGGGGAGTGGAGAATGAAGAGCTTTCTTAGCTGTACACCCCCTAAAGCGAAGCTATGAGACACCAGAGCTCCCTCCCCCCAATCCCAGCACTCCCTCACCTGCTGTGGAGAGATGAGGGACTCCGAGAGGCAGTTCTCAATAGCGGTCCAAGATGCCTGGACTCTAGAAAGGATAGGGAGTGGAAGGAAAAGGATGGGGAAACCAGGCAACTGGGGAACTGAACCCCAACAGGGTCGTTTCCCAGGCCCTGAAAAGATTCTGCCGTCAGAGAAAGACACATTAAACGCTTGTTGACTTGAAGTGGGAGAGAGATTTGGGGTGTTAAAACACAGGTGATAGTGAGTTCTGTTTCCTGGAGCAGGGGCCAGCCTCCAGGACCAGTTCTTAGGGCAGCTCTCTCACCTTTGCCTTGCTCCTCAAAAGCCCAGTCCAGCTGCAGCTCTGGAAAAAGAGAGAGGAAGCAGGTCACCGCTCCCTAACCCTTGCCTCAACCCTACTCCCGTGCCAGTGGCCTTCCCCTCCCCCTTAGGAGGTGGGGGAATGAGTCAGGCCCAGAAGAATGTCTAGGGAGGGAAAGAATTAGGAGAGCTGCTCCTAGGAGGTCTGAAAATGCTTTTGGGTATTCAGTGACTCTGGAGTGCCTCCAGGCAACCGGAGATTTCCCACCTCTCTGCTCAGACCCAGCCACCTACACTTTTAAAACTAGCTGGGAGTCAGGGAAATCCATCTTTCTTGTTTATGACCCCTTGGGTCCCTCCTGCCTGGGAGAAAAGCATCAGAGAAAATTCAGGCACCACTAATGAGTTAGTGACCTCCAAGGCTACTTCCGATATTTTAATTTTAAATGAGGACAGTAGAGACAGAGCTAGTTTTACCACAAAGAAATAAATAACAAATGATGAAATTCCAGGCACCTATTCCACCTGCCTCTAAGTCCTTGAAACTACTACAAATTGGGGCAGCTAGAGGCACAGTGGATAGAGCACCTGCCATGGAGTCAGGAGGACCTGAGTTCAAATGTGACCTCAGACCAAACACTTGACACTTACTAGCTGTGTGACCCTAGGCAAGTCACTTAAACCCCAATTGCCTTACAAAGAAAAAAAAAAGAAGCAGAAGAAACTACTACAAATTAAGATGCAGCTATGGGTACTTCTCCAAGGAATAAGAGTCATTATTTCCTTGACACATGTATTTCAAGATAGAGCTTGGGTCTCCACTCAAACCTTAAAGAATCACAGAATCTGAGAATTGGAAGGGATACCAAAGGCCATCTAGTCTCCCTACAATATACGGGAACTAGTGGTTATCCAAAATCTATGTGTTAATTAATTAGTAATAAATAATAATAGCTAGTTTTTATATAGTGCCTACTATGTGCCAGGCATTATGCTGAATCCTTTTTGAACATAATATTACATCCTCATAACAACCTGGGGAAGTAGGGGCTATTGTTATCTCCATTTTACAGTTGAGGAAACTGAGGCAGAGAAAGATGTTAAACAACTTGCTAGGTAACACAGCTAAGAAGTGTGTGAGACCAGATCTGAACTCAGGTATTACTGACTCCAGGCCTAACAAGCTTTACACTCTACTACCTAGATGCTTCATTGCCTCAATTAGCCTAATTTTGCAAATTCCACCCACACCTAGTTTTATTCTCCAGGGCCAAGCAGACTAAGTGTATATTCTTTCTTCAACCAGACGTAACCCATTAGACTCTGAGCTCCTCCAGAGCAGAGACTGTCTTATTTTGCGTTCCTTTGTATCCCTATGGATACAAAGCTTAGCACAGTCCCTGGCACACAGCAGGCACTTAATACATGCTTTTTGGCTGCCCGATAGTCCTTTGAATACTTGAAGGCAGCTATCATGTGCTCTTTTCTTCTCCAACCTGTGTACATCTATATCTGTATCTCTATATCTGTAGCTCTATCTCTATATCTATATCTATCTCCCAGGTGCCTTCAGCCAATCTTTTTATGGCACGAGCCGTCCAGGCTGCCTACTTCTGGATGCTCTTTGGTTTATCAGTTTCCTTCCTAAAATATGACCCCTGGAAGAAAGTGCACCACAGCAGAGGTAATGTCATCAGGGCAAAGTAGAGGGGCCATCATCATCCCTCCATCCCTGACACCGGGCTTCTCTTAACACCAGCTAAGATTACATTAGCTTTCTTGGTTGCAATCTCACCCTATGGATGCATATGGGGCTTGCACTCTTGTATTGAAGAAGCTGACTTTTTAGAAGCAAAGGCTAAGACTTTTACACTGACTTCTATTGTTATTATTCATTTCGCTAGATTCCAGATATTTTTAATTACCTATCTCTTTAACCAAATCACAAAGAAAAATGTTAAATAAATAGCACAGGGCCAAACTGGGATCACTGGGGAACTCCACTGGACAGCTCCTTGTAATAATAATAATAAAACCTAACATTTACATAGCATTTTTAAGTTTTGCAATGCATTTCACAGAGGCTAGGTGGCACAGTGGATAGAGCGCCAGAGGCCTGAAGTCAGGAAGACCTGAGTTCAAATGTGGCCTCAGACACTTACTAGCTGTGTGACCCTGGGCAAGTCACTTAACCCTGTTCGCCTCAGTTTCCTCATCTGTAAAACAGGCTGGAGAAGGAAACAACAAACCACTCCAGTATCTTTGCGAAGAAAACCCCAAATGGGGTCACCAAGAGTCAAACACAACTGAAACGACCCAACAATAAATGAATTTCATATACCATGTCATTTTATCCTCGAGATAATCCAAGGAAGTAGGTACTGTTATCATCTCCACGTTACAGAAGGGGAAACTGAGGCAGGCCACAGTTAAGGGACTTGCCCAGGGTCATATATGGCTAGTAAGTATCTGATGTAGGATTTGAACCCAGTTCATCTAACTCTAAATCCAGAGATCTTTCTAGTGTCCAGCACTGTGTTGAACTATTCATTTCTAGTCTCTCGGTCTGGCCATCCAATCAGCCCTAGATTCATCTAATCATACTGTCTGTCAAACACTGCAGCTCTGTATAGTCCACAACACTCCTTAGTACACGTCTGGACTCCTTAGTCCTGATTAAAATGTAATTGAGAAATGTTTAACAAAATAATAAAAATACAAAAGAACAGACGATGTTAATATATGGTTTTGTAGGCTAACAAGAGATCCTTAGGTACCATTCAGACCTCCCTGGTCTCGCCCACATCTCTTCATCTTTTCTTCACGAGAGGTTCTATCAAGCACTTTGCTAAAATCTAGAGAAACGCTCTCCAAAGCATTCCCCAGGTCTACAAGTTCAGTGATACCATCAAACGCCGTCCTGAGTCCTCCCTCCTCCTCACTTGCCGAATCTTGTTGATTTTACCTCCCTATCTCAACCTGTCCCCTTTCTCTCCACTCACACCATTGCCGCTCTAATTCAGCCAAACTATTGTCACAGTTTCCTAACTGGCTCCAACCCATCCTCCATGAAGCTTCCAAAATAAACTTCTGAAAGCACAAGTCCCCTGATCAAGAACCTTCAACAGCTCCCTATGCCTCTCCTCTGCTTGGTATTTAAACTCTTTCCCAATGTGGCTCCAGCTTACATTTTTAGGCTTTCTCTAACCCTTCCTGCACATTACTCCTGACACACATGCTATGTTCCAGCCATTTTGTTTCCTATCACCGGGTCTTTGCATAGGCCGGTCCCTCCTTCCTTCTAACTCTGAGAAGCTTCCATCAAGACTCAGATCCATGTGCTTCTCTTAGAGGAAGACTTTCCTCATCTTCTCCCTCTTCCTCAAATCCCTTAGAATCCTTCTCTCCTCATTCCCCAGCCACGACAAGACTGAGTCTCACCTGGAAGTTTTCGGTGGATCTGATGGAACATTTTCCGGTACCAGTCCCGTGGGCTGCCTACACTCTGGGAATAGAGAAAGTTAAGTCAGGCTATCCTCCTTTCCCTACCTCCAGACCTTCTTTCTTGAAATCCATCCCTAGGGGCAGCACCCACCCTGGGGTCAGGAGGACCTCAATTCAAATCCGGCCTCAGACATTTACTAGCTATGTGACCTTGAGCAAGTCACTTAACCTGGACTGCCCCACCACCACCAAAAAAAAATAAGAAAAGAAAAGGAAATCCAGTCCCAGAGGGGCTCTGCTGAGCTGATGTTACAGGAAAAAATAGTAACTCATGTTGGAAGCAGCTCAACACCTGCTCTTCAAAGTATAGTTTTAGAGTTACCTGGGGCACTGAGACTGAGTAACTCCTTCAAAGTCAGAGTCACTAAGTGTCAGAGGTAAGATATGAACCCAGGTCTTTCTGGCTCTGAGGTCAACTCTCTAACCAAGGCAGCTAGGTGGTGTAGTGGACAGAGTGCCTTGGAGCCTTGGATTCAAGAAACTCTGAGTTTGAATATTGCCTCAGACACATATGTGTCTGGGCATCCTCAAGGCATTTAATATCTTTACTATCTCTCTCTCTCACTCTCTCTCTCTCTCTCTCTCTCTTCCTCTCTCTCTCTCTTCCTCTCTCTCTCTCTCTCTCTCTTCCTCTTATTATTCCCACTTTATGCATAGAGAAACTGAGGTTCTTAGAGATGGAGTACCCAGGGTCATGGTAAGGATCAGAATCCAGACCTCTCCTGACTTCAGATTCAGCACTCTTTCCATACGAGCAGCACACATCAATGTGAGATAATGGAATCTTAATACATGAGGCATCCCTGAACTCAGGCAGCTTGAGTGGTGCAGTGGACAGAGGACCGGGCTTAGAGTCAGGAAGACCTGAATTCAAATCCAGCCTCAGATATTTACTAGCTGTCTTACCCTGGGCAAGTCACTTGATCCTGTTTGCTTCAGTTTCCTCATCTGAAACATGAGCTGAAGAAGGAAACAGCAAACTACTGTAGTATCTCTGCCAAGAAAATTCCCAAACGGCATCACGAGGAGTTGGACGTGACTGAAACAACTGACTGTCCTGAGCTCAGGGTCTATCTCTGCCTGTCCTCCCATCCTCTTTTCTCCCTCTGCGGTTCCCCAAGCACTCACGGATCGAGGAGCAATGGGCATCCCGCTCTCGTCCACTGGCCCGATGCCCTCATATTTGACCCAGCACTTGTCCCTCGGCTTGCCGCCTTTGGTCCATGTAGCTGACCAGTTTGGGCCACCCTGGGACACGGGTTGCTTCGTGCCTCCAGGGACCTGGCTCTCAGAAACGGGCCAGGTTTGGTACCAAGAAGGATCTGTAGGTAGCATTTGAGAGGCAGAAGAGAAAAGAACAGTAAGGATGAGTCAGTGAGTTTACCCCGACCTCCACCCCATCCACATACTCCACTCACCTGTTAGGTTTCCAGGACAGTAACCCCTGACCTTTTCTGAGTTGTGACATTCTGTTTGTTTGATTTTGTGACTTAAACACACACGCAAGTGAACCCTGTTCCCTCCAGATAAAGGGAACATATAATACATGTTTATTTGTTGTTGTTTTTTTAAAGTGAATCCAAACCAATTACCTTCTGAGAATGTCAGGATCTAACCTTTAAGATGACTGGAGATGCCCTATGAGTTAGTTCTCAGTACAGCCTTCCTCCCCCAGGGGAGAATCACTGCTTTAAAGTGGGGGAGGATTACCCAAACTAATATAATTTGTGGAAATGGGATTTCCTAATCAGATCTTGTGTCCCCTTCCTTTCCCTCCCCCCCCACCCCCACCCTCCCTGAGTTAGGATCCTACTTTATCCTCCTTAACTCAAATACTTGGATTTCCTGGGCTACAGGCCTCACTCCCTTTTCCCTAGCCCATAGACTCCCATGAAATCCAGCCATTTTCCAAAGATATTCAGGATAGCCCTCAAAGTCCTATCCCAGGTTGGGAAGTGCCAGTCACTTCAGGGGTTGACCTTGGGGTCTTCGACCTTCATCCCTCTCCACTTCCATTCTCCCCAGCAACCAAGCTCTGGCTTGGCCTGCCTTGAGGTCCTCCGTGTACAATTAGGAGTATGGGGGTGGGGCGGGATTTCAGACTTGGCCTCCATCCCTAGGGGCTTGGTTATAGCTGGGCCAGCTTTGGCAAAGGGCAACAGTGGTGCTCCTCCATAGAGCTGTGTCAGCCTGGAAGTTTTCTCTTTCATGGGAGTCTTCGATCACTTTGGTGACACAGGCCCACAGTGAAAGAAAGTGTCTTGCCCCTCATGTGTGTGTGCAAGTCAGTAGTATATAAAAGGAAAGAAGTTCACAAGATGCAATATTGAGGAGGGGGTTAGTTCACAGAGCACCACAGCCCAGGAAAATATACAGTACGGGAGGGCACCAGGAATCAGAGGTATCCTCCTGCAGCAAAAAGATTCAAATAATTTCTGCCTCTCTTGTCCCCTCCACCTCCCTCACCTCAAAATATCATCATCCTCTCTCAAACTTTGCCCTCAGAATGGTCTCACAGAGCTCTATATATTTACATCCGTATCTATAAACATATGAACACACATACACTGGAGATGATGTGACATGCCTTGATCATCTCCTATATGTATATACGTGTGTACATATACACACATATACACATACATATATGTGTATGAGATTTTGAATATGCATATATATATATGCGGATGTTTGTATCAAAGGCAGAAAGAAGCCAGTACCAACCTAGGCAATTGCAGGAGCTGGTTCTGAGGAAAAGGGAGCCTGGGGTGGTGGCAGAGCCCTGTGCCAGAACCAGGACCCCCTCCACCCTCACCCCAGCCCTGACATTTGGATGGAGAAAGATGGGGTTACTATCACTGCTGGGGGGAATATCTTCTACTTTCCACCATACTGCCTAACCAGCTTTTCAGGAAGAGCCTGACTCCTGAAGGAGCAAAGGAAGAAGCAAAGCATTTAAGCCAAGGGAGAAGGATGGACAATGCGGGCAGAGCGAACCTGGGGCGACTCTCCTGGGGGCCGAGTGCCCATTGCACACGGTCCTGGGGGCTGGATCATGGAACTGGAAGTTGAGCGTGTTGGAGCCACCGTTCCGGAGCACAGACACCTGTTGGGATTGGGGGGAGGGCAAGGAGGGAAGCTCAAGATACAGCAGGGAGGAGGGGTCAGTTCACAGAACATATGGGGGACGTCCCGCTAGGGCCTAACAAAAATCCAGCAGGTGAAGGCATCAGGAATCAAGAAACAGAGCCAAATGATTTCTGCCTCCCCAATCCCTTCCACCAAATCCCTGCCCTCAAAATATCCACCTCCCCAGGTCAGGCAATGCTCCCTCTCTCAACCCTTGCCTCAGAGTGGACTCACTCACCTGGGTCCTTTGACGGTGTGGCAATGTCTGTGCCTGGAGGTGGCCTGGGATGAAATCACTGAGGCTGAGCCCCAAGGGGAGGCTGTAGGATGGGGACTGCATGGTGTGGCCAGGACCCACAGACCCAGAGGGGACCAGCTCTCCCTTGGGGAAAGGACAAGAGAGAACTAGGATTGGCTTGGGAAGCCCCAATGCCTTCTGGGTCTGGATCGGGGTTGAGGTGCGGGGAAGGGTGTCTGGACTGTCACCTGGGCTCCCGATGCCCCAAGAGGCAGACTCCTCCCCTGGGCACCAGCCATCAGCTCCGTCCCTGCTCCTGCTCCTGGCGCCGCCTCAGCTGCCGGATCAGGCACAATGAACTGCTTGTTTGAGTGACCCAGGAACTGCAGGGGTGGGGGGAAGGGGGGTGTGGAGGACCAGGGTGAGGGAGAGGATAAGAGAGGAGAGGGATGGCAAGAAGGAGGGAACGATGGGAAATGCCTCGGTCACCCAGTCATCCAGGCATACCCTACAGGGATCTCAAAGCACTTTAGGACTTCCTCCCCCAAAAGAGAAATGGAAACAGCTGTTGGGCACAGCAACACAGGAAGGAAGGAGAGAAACTAGTCTAGCTTGACTATGTGTCCCAAGTGAGGACAGCCAGGGTCCCTCCCCTTAGTACCAAGACCAGGCTGTGCCTCTCGGGTGAGGGGTAGAAATCATCTTTCCTGAGTCAGGAGTTAAGCATGAAATGGTCATAGCCTTTTCTGTTTCAGCTTTCCTTCCCAGGGACTCCGGGGAGTTCAGAATGCCAATGGGGTTGGCCTGCCTTCAAGTCTTGGGCTCTGGGTGCTCTTGTCTGCCTCCCTCCCTTCCTCCCCTCCCCCTTCTCGTCTGCCTCCCTCCCTTCCTCCCCTCCCCCTTCTCGTCTGCCTCTCTGCTCTCCTTCTGTCTGTCTCCTCTCTCTCTTTCTCTCTCTCTCTCTCTCTCTCTCTCTCTCTCTCTCTCTCTCTCTCTCTCCCTTGGTCTCTCTCATTCTCTCTGCTTTCCTTCTGTTTTCTTCTCCTTTCTGTTTTTCTCCTGACTCATTTGTACAAGTTTCTCCCTCTGCTCTCCTTCCTGTTTCTGTCTCTCTTTCTCCTTCCTTACACGGTCTCTCTGTCTCTCTTCCAGACCTGTGCTTGTTGCTCCATGGAAGGAGGCCGTAGCAGAGAAAGGTTTGTCCTTGGGAATCAGCAGTGGGTGTAGGGGAGGTGACCAGCTCGATGAGGAGAAAGTCCAAAGCCCCCACAGGAGTGGGCAGCAAGACAGGGTGTAAGACTTGGAGATGGGAAATGCCAGTGGGGAGGAGGAAGAATAGGGAGAGGCATGAGGCCAAGGGAAGGGGAAGCAGGTAGAAGATGGGAGGAACAGCAGGTGGTCCCTGTGCTGGGTGAGGGCGATGTCAGACCAGGACTCTTCTTGAAAATTGTGTAGGCTGAGATCATGGACTGAAATGGGACTTCCTTCCACCCTACCCCACTCCCAACTAGAGTCACAGGACTTGCCTGGGTCACACTGGTATCTCCTGAGTTAAGTCCAAGCCATTGGTGGGTGGCCTCCACACTCACAAAAGGCAGCATTGGGAAAAGGGGGAGGGGGAAATTTCTTTGGGAGAAGGAGGAGTCCTGCACGTTGGGAAGGTGCATGCCCACGGCCAGAGTGGAGATGTCCCATGGGCAATGTGCTGGGGTGGGGGTGGGAGTGGGAAACTTGTCACTCTCTTGTTCACTTGTAATGATGTACCGGGAGTCAGGGAGGTCAGGGAAGCAGACCCCCTATTGTGAGCTTCTTGTACTTGCTGGGGCACTGAAAGGACAGTGCCTGTTGCTTTTCTGTGCCCATCTGACTGCTGGGGGGGGGTGGAGTGGGAAGTGAAGGCATTCACAAGCTGGATTCAATTAAGACTAAGAGCTATGCCACATCAGCAGCTCAGACTCACTCCAAAGGTCTTTGCAATTCTCTTTCCTAAACACTGTGCAGGGGAAACTGAGGCATGATTCAAGAGAGCCTGGTTTAGAGCTGACAGCCCAGAAGTACCAGGCCCTAACTCCTCAGTGCTTTGACTTATATCATCATCATCATCATCATCATCCATTGACCCCAGATTCTTCTTTCTCTTGACCTACCCTGACTTCCTTGATCACTAGGAGGGATTCAGAGTGGATAACTTCCCTCTGAGCAGGCTGGGCAATTCGCTTGTTTTCCAGTGTAGCGAAGCTGGCCTGGGAGCCAGGAAAGTTCCAGTCCTAACTCTTGACATACACTGTCTGTGCAACCCAGGGCTAGTCACTCAACCCCATGGTTCTCTGTATGATTCTTAGTTACAGAGAAGGTGAGAACATCCATTGGGAGAAGGAATTTTCTTATCTGGTAGCTCCATGTCTAGTCTCCATCCCTGTCCTAGTCACTAGGTTGTTTTCAGGGGGCAGGGTGCTGTCTGTTTTCCAATGATCCCCTTTCCCCCAACAATGTTCTCAATGTTTCCTCTCCCATCCTGCCTCACTCCCCCAGTGGGGAGGGGGATATGAATGGGTCCAGTTACCCCAGCCCCTTAAGGTAATAAGACTTTGCATGTACCTTGCCCATCCAGGCCTCTACATTCTTGAAACCAGTATTCCTAGGAATTAGAGGTAAGGGTAAAGTGGAAACAGAGAGGGGAGAGGTACTTCATTTAGGAGGAATTGTAAGCAAAGGGCCTTGATCTGCATCCATGCCACCAGATGACGTAGGAGTGGGATCAGAAGTAGACCAGGTCTGATTCCCAAATCAGAGCTCCATCTGCTTCCTATGAGCTTGAGAGAATTCTCCATCCCTTTGGGCAAGATCCTAACTAATTTAAAGCCTTGACTCTGGGAACACAGCAACCAACGTGGTACCACTTGGAGTTTTTCTTGTCCTTGTCCAGGACATCGACATGGGAAAATAAATGGGGGGGGTGGTGGTTATTCTTGGCTTCTTCCCTCTTCCCCATTTCCCGGCAAGAGGAGAAGATAAGCCTTCCCAGGAAAGCTTGTATTTTCTTCGAAGAGCAAGGGGCTGGGAGCAGGATGACCCAAGTCCTCTTCCCAATTTCACTTCTCTATACCTCAGTTTCCCTGAGCATAGGAAGGCGGCCCAGCTGATTTTCTGTGGACTACAAGGGGAGGAGCCAGTCTGCCTTCCCTTCATCTGGTTTGAGGGATTGCCTGGTCTTCCCTCCTTGATCCCTCCCTCCCCTGACCTCAGCCTCTCTTCCCTTGTCCCCTCTTCCTCCTTGGCACCTACCTGCAGGAGAGCTGGTGGAGAAGATGGACAGTCCGTGAGGGAGAAAGCATTCCCTCCAGCCTCCACTTTGAGCCCACAGCTGTGGGCCTCTGGGGAGGCTGCCAGGAAGGGAAAGGAAGGGGAGAAGTCTGGGGTGTGTTCTCTCTCCCTCGTGACTGGGGCAGAATAAGTCTTTTACAGGGTGGGTGGGTGGGAGGGGAGGAAGGAGAGGCAGTGAGACAGAGAGTCAGAGTCACGGAGAAAATGGGGAACTGGAGTGTGGGTGTGAGATAGAGAGGACAGAGAGATAAAAAAGAGAAAAAGCCAAATCAGCAGGAAGGGAGTCTGTAAGCCAGAGAGAGGGAGGAAGGGAGGGAAGAGAGGAAGAAGGGAGGGAACCAAGCAGAGAGTTTCCAATCTCTGGCCTCTTTGCAGCGGGGTGGGGTGTAGGGAAAAGTCATACTTTTTGTCTGTAGCTCTTTCCCCTCCCTCCTCATGTTATGTGTTTATGTGTGTTGTGGGGGTTGGGGAAAAACTGGAAGGGGGGGGTGTAATTTGGTTAGGAAGCTATAGGCAAGCAAATGCCTGTCTCCCAGGGATGGGAGAGCTACTCTCATTGCAAGGGTGAGATCCAGGCAGAGGAGAGGCAGGGAGTATGGTCCCAGTGCTCAGGGTGGAGCATGTTTATGGGAGGAGGAGTCCTGGGGTCCCAGGGGACCACAAGAGACTTTCCCAGCAGCTTTCCCTCTGTGCCCTGTGGAGCCTTTGGCACCAGAGAGGGGCCACTCAGAGTTTCCAGCAACATTTCCAGCATGTGGGAGGGGGAGCTCCTTTGGTCCTGGAGCCTGCCCTTAGTACAGGAATGATAAATGAGACAGACGCAGTGAGAGGGACACAGGGATGGAAACTGAGAGACCCAGAGATAGAAATGAGAGACAATGAAGCAAAGAGACTGACACAAGCAGGGAAGAGTGACCCTGGGTACAGCTGCTGCAGAGTTGGAGGGATAAAAGAGGTGTGAAGGGGTGAAATTTATACATATCTACACAGATGTGGGGAAACACATATGTTTACACATATACATACACACGCAATGGGCCAATTGAGGGGGGTGGGGGACACACGGAGGAAGGCAGCATGAGAAGGATCTTCTCCTAAGGAAATGGTACTGGGGAGGGGCTGGGCTGAGCCAGCCTGGGAGGGCGGATGAGGGTGGAGGCCCACCCCTGATGGTAGTGGGGTGGTCTCCATGTTCCCAGGCAGCGGACAACACATTTTGATCTTGTTGTCTTTCCGATGTTCCCGCTGCTCCTGGCTCTGCTCCTAAGAACCTACGCCCATTGACTCTCTGGACTCACTCCACTCCCCTTAACCTGTGCTGCTGCTGACATTCTTCACTGGTCTCCTTGCTGTCTTCACCCGTGACTCGGGTTCTGTCTGATCCTCTAAATAGGCCCAGTTGAAGTTTAGGGACAGAAAGGAATAGGGGAGGATCTCCCTGACCACAGTTGTTAAGAGAATGGGAGGATACAGGGATGCTGGAGGGGCAGCTGGACAAAGCATGGTGATGCTCTGTCCCCTGATCTCGGCAGGGAGGATTTAAAGAGCTTTCGGCCTGGGGAAAGGGAGAAAACACAACTTGTTTGTAAGCTGAGCTCAGACAACCAGGTTGACCTTGCCCATCCCAGGGGAACATGCCCCAGAGACACTAAGTCCAGGTTGCAATGTCTCACACTGTCCTCTGAACCTTAGAAACAGCTCTAATCCCAAGGGGGCCCCAGAAAAAGAGGCCACTCCTAAAACCCCATACCCTCCTCCATTTCCCCTCTGTTCCAAAGGACACAGGCACCAGTCCAGCTTCTAAAAGAAACAGTGTTGCCAAGTTTCATGGGATGACATACACAGTACAGTGCTGAGTTCTCAACTGGGAATTAGGAGACCCAGGTTCCATTCTTTGCCAGGCCTGTTTCTTTATCTATAAAATAGGAATGGAAACACCTGACCCACTCATTGTACCAAATGAAGCACTTGCTGTCTTCACACCAATCATGATCAGGAGGTAGGCTTCAGGACTTCGGAAGAGGGCACCCTAGCATAAAGAACTCTTGGGCAACTCATTCAACCCTGAGGTTAGTAGCAACAGAGCTAGCCCAGGAGCCCAGTCTAGGGTAGGTCTTTTTCCCTTTTTAGGTCACAGCACACTGATAGGGTAAAACTCCTCTGAGGCCCCTAGTTGATCCAACATGAGATATTTTATGAAGGAGCTGAGCCGGAATAGGGATGGAGAGGGATCAGTCCCAAAGAACATGAACATTGGTGACTAATATCACTAACTTTCCTGCAGCAACTTAATAAAAAAAATTGTTTGGGGTTTACCTCCTTTTCTTGTTTGGCAATGAAAAATTAGGGGATGGAGCAGGTGGGCATTGTGTGTGGGTTTGCTGAAAAGAGGAACTAAAGAGGGCTAAGCAATGATCCTCTTCTAAACAAGCCTGAAACTTAACCCTTCCTTGGGAACTATGCACCCCAATCTCCCTCCCTTTAATGAAATGGCCTACCCAACTCCTTCCCCCCTCAACACTATCCCCACCTGGGGGCCACCTGCCAAAAAGGCTCCTAGGCCTGTGTAGGGAAGGAGCATTGCCTTCTTGTTCCTTGTTCTCCAGTGATGGGGCTGGACATCCTTGACTGCCTGTGATTCTGGCCAGACTGTCCTCTTGCCAGTAACAAAGTCCCCTTATTCTCCAGGACGCTAGCTTTGACTCCAAGATAAATATTTAACACAGAGGTTGTGGCTGAGCTGACTAATGTCCCAACTTCCTGTTTGTCATGAGGGAGGGTTAAGGGACTTGAGGATGGCCTACCAGTCTCATTCATCACTATGGGAATAGGCTTTTGAGTAAGTGGATTGATAGTGTTGGGGGGAGGTGGTTGGGGGCTAAATGGGCCTACCCTCTTCTGCCTTCTTGATTCCTAGGTAAATGAAATTTGGCCTGCCAACCCAAGGCCCTAAGCTCAACTGCACTTATTAAATGCTATGGAGCAGGCAAAAGTAAAAGATGTCATGTGACATTTGTGTCATCAGACACCATCACTTTCTCTTCCTGTTTCTTTTTTCCTTTTTTTCTCCTCTAACCATGAGGAAGGCTGGCTGCGCAGTCTTAGCCGTTGGAAGGGAACTGTGGGGGCAGCTGGATGGCACAGTGGATAGAGCACCGGCCCTGGATTCAGGACCTGAGTTCAAATCTGCCCTCAGACACATAACACATACTAGCTGTGTGACCCTGGGCAAATCACTTAACCCCATTGCCTAGCCAAAAAAAAAAAAAAAAAGGAAGGGAACTGTGAAAATAATGCCCTCCATCACTCCCCATCCTGCCTCGAGAGAAGTCAAGGGCATGAGGGAAATACTCAAAGCTTCCCAGAGTATGGAACAGGAGAAACCTACAGATTCCTGTCTTTTTGACGAGGATGGGATAAGCTCTTGCGTCTGGAAACCCCCAGCCTCAGGTTTCTCAGCTCCTCCATCTGGTTCAGGCTGCGACTGTTGTGGCTCATTTCATCAGGCCGTCTCTCTTTCTCTCCCCTCCCCTCCAGGAGGGATGGGGGGGTAGGGAGCCCATCTGCTTTGAGGGAGCTTGCTCCTGCTGTTCCATTTCCCCAGCACTCTCTTAGAGATACCAGCACCACAACGGTTCTTTCCCCAGCCACCCGATGTAGCAGTCACGGGTGTTCTTTGCTTCCAGCCCTCAAAATCTATCCCGCCCTGCCACCTCCTTTGCTGTGTTTTCTGATATTTTGCATGTTATATAACATGTGTAAATAGAAATCTATCCATACTCCACACCTATTATAACAGCTGACGTATATATAATAGCACTTGAAGGTTAGCAAATCACTTTACACACATTATGTCACTGAAGCCTCAGGAACCTGTCAGGTAGATGAGAGAGAGAGAGAGAGAGAGAGAGAGAGAGAGAGAGAGAGAGAGAGAGAGAGAGAGAGAGAAGAGAGAGAGAGAAGAGAGGAGCGGGGAGGAAGGGGGGTGCTCCCCTCCATGATAAACATCTGCAACTGGTCTGTAACTGACAAGTCAGAGTTGCCTGAGGGGCCCACCGTGATATATGCAGCCAACATGTGTCAGAGGCAGGCTCTGACAAGGCAGGCTTGAGGGCTATTTAGTGACGAGGGCTACAGGTATTCTTACAGATGAGGACTCTGAGGCTTGGAACCCTCTTTTCCAGCTAGTAAGCATCAGAGGTAGTATCTAAACCCAAGCATTCCTGACTCCAAGTCCAAGAAGCTTTCCATTAGATCACATTGCCTCCCTAGTTGGTAGGAGATGGCTCAGCCAAGAGACTGCCATGGCGAGGAATCTGTGGCTACCGGCAGGGGAGTTTGTTCATACTGACAGAGGGAGGGAGTGGGGAGCAGAGGTATGTGGCTGCATGTACAGGAATAACAGGTCACTCTGAAAACCCATCTTGGTCACCAAGACAAGTAAGGAAAAAGGACAGACCGGGCAGGCTTTCATTACAAGTGAAGGGTGGGACAAGTGTGAGAGGGATGGAACTTATAACTTTTTTCTTGGAATGGAAAAGTATGAGGGAACCCCAAGAGCCAGGAGCCCAGATCTTCATTCATTTCTTAGAGGAAGAAGCATCTTCTCCTCCTGTTACAAGCTGAGAGAAAGAAAGTCATTCTGCTAGAATCCACTCTGAGATTACAAAGAAACTTGCTCCATGCCTTATTTTTATATTTGGAAAAAAGGATATTTTGCTCCTTATCCCTACACATCATCTGTTCTACCTTCTTTTCTCTATGATAGAACATTTTTTTTCAGTGGTTTGGATTGCTGTGGAGCGCAAGACCACAATGACACAATGGTCAGCAAGAGAAATCAGATCACACAGGACACACTGGCACCAATCATTCCTTTTCCCTTTTAGTTTTCTGGGCTCTCATCCCTTTCCCTCGGGTCCCTTCTCATCCAGTATAAGTTTATATTACTTGCCAAATCCCAGTGATGGCCCAACTCTATGCCAGCTGCCTATGGGAATAGAAGCAACAAATGAGGGTGACTAACCCATTTCAAGGGTCTTGAAAGGCCCTCCTAGGTGTGTATTGGTTGGAAATTTTGAATTATAGTGATCTAGATCTAGGAGGCCTAAATTCCCCAAACATGGTATACTCATCTAGCACTA